GACCTCAGATCGGATTGTGACTACACTCAGAACTCAGACGCATGTTAGCCAGGCACTATAGCATTGCATATAACACCTGGGGGTCTACCGAGTACCTAGCATTATGGCAAAGGGGGCTACTATAGGTAAAGAACACAGAAGCAAGCTATAGGGCCTAACCACCTATGCTAGGTGTGACACCTGCCTTGGGCAACTGTACTGTTCCAAGAAGTGATAATAGCAACAACAGGACAAACAGTGTCCAGCTCAAACTTCATTAAACTGTAGAAATGCAGTCCTTTCTGCAATGTTCAACACAGATGAACTCACTTGATTTAGACACATGCATCTGCATCTCAGAAGAAGTTGCCCCCAAAATTTGGATAACCGTTCAGCTCTGAACTCAATCTTTCCTAAAGGACCAGCAAACTGTTTTCTATCCAGGTACATACACTATCATCAATGCCAACAGTCCTCACCTTGTAAATTAAGCATTTGTGGGGTACTATATGAAATGCTTTGGCGAAATCCAGATACACCACATCCACATAACTTCCTCTATCCAAATTATAGCTTACCTCTTCATACACTGTAAAAGGTTGGTTGGCAAGAACGATCCTTAATAAATCCATGCTGGTTACTAATAGCACAATTTTCATCTGCAAATTCTTGGATATAGTCCCTTATCATCCCTTCCAATAATTTACATACTATTGATGTAAGGCTGACTGGTCTGTAATCCCCAGGTATATATCTTGGCCCTAAATATTGATACCACGTTAGCTTTTTACCAGTCAGCTGGTACCATTTTGGTCAGTAAGTGGTTTTTAAAGATTAGGAATGATGGTCTAGCAATAAACTGGCTAAGTTATTTGCGGACTCTTGAGTGTAAACCATCCTGGTGATTTACTGATCTTTTTTTAGCACTGGCTTCTGTTAGCCATAAGAGTACATTCTGTGCTTTGTTACTAACAATACCATTTTGTCAAACGCCTGGAACTAGATCTGTTAACAAAGTGGCTCAGCCCAGAGTCATCTTGACAGGCCAAGAGAAGCAGGTCTGTACACATTCATGATCCAGCTGCTGAGGTTAAAATGGTATGGCAGAGATTAAAGGACTGTTATGGCAGCCCTGAAGCTATTGAGAACACTTTGTTGAAGAAACTGGAAGACTTCCCTGAAATCTCTAACAAAGTCAACCTAAAGTTAAAAGAACTTGGCGGCATATTGTTGGAGGTCAATGCAGCCAACACCAAAGTCCACCTACCAGGAATGGGATACCTAGACACAGCACAAGGGATTAAACCAATAATTGAAAAGCTTGCATACAATCTGCAAGATAAGTGGATTTCTCAAGGGTCCAAGTGCAAGGAATATCATTGTGTATCCCTCCCACCATTCAGTTTCTTCATCAAGTTTATCGTCAGTCAAGCAAAGACTACAAATGACCCAAGCTTCATATTCTTGACGTGCAGTAGCCAGATATCAGCAAACACAGAGAAGATCGTAACAAAGCATGGCAACAGGCCATCAGTGTCAGTCCATGGAACTAGTCCATGGACCCAGACACTTCATGCCCAATTCATAAAAAAAAAAAAAAACTCACTTTCAAAATGTTGTGGATTCAGAAGAAAGCACATTGATGAATGTCAAGCTTACCTAAAAGAAAATGCTATCTGCTTCAGATATTGTGCATCCAAACACATTGCTAAAGACTGCAAGGTCAATATAAAATACAGAGAGTGCAGTAGTGACCAGCATGCCTTAGCACTACATACAGACCCAGCTCCTTGGGTAACAGAGACTCCAGAACAAACAAAGAGCAAAGCAGAGAGGAAGATGAACCTACCCCACCAACTGTTGTATCCAAGTGTATGGAAGTACAGTGGCTTGAAAACGTATTCATACCCCTTGAAATTTTTCACATTTTGTCATGTTACAACCACAAACATAAATGTATTTTATTGGGATTTTATGTGATAGACCAACACAAAGTGGCACATAATTGTGAAGTGGAAGGAAAATGATAAATGGTTTTCAAAATGTTTTACAAATAAATATCAGAAAAGTGTGGTGTGCATTTGTATTCAGCCCCCTTTACTCAGATACCCCTAACTAAAATCTAGTGGAACCAATTGACTTCAGAAATAACCTAATTAGTAAATAGAGTCTACCTGAGTGTAATTTAATCTCAGTATAAATACAGCTGTTCTGTGAAGCCTCAGAGGTTTACAATCAAAAAGTGAAATAAAAAATGCTGCGCTACATAAACCAATGGTACAAACCAGTACCAAAAAACTAAGTGAAAAAATAAATCAATAATTATTAGAAGAAAAATAGTAGTAGAAAAAATATTAATATTGGAAAAAAAAATTTATATATATATATACTGTATATTATATATATATATATATATATATATAACCACACAAAAATAAAAATATATATAAAAATTAAAAATGTTTTAAGTATGAATCAAATGAAAGTCAATCAAAAATCAAGTTCAATCAATAGAGTGTTAATTCAGTGAACCCTCCTTTGGATAACGAAAATATGTGCATCTGTCATCAATTCCCGTGCAAAGACATCCTCCACCATATATCTGCTCACCTCACGCAGTGTGACCTCACATTATACAATGTTACGGTCTAACTGCACTTTTGGTCCCATATGGACTCAGAAGATCAGTTTGCTGAATGAAGACTCCAAATTAAGCTCCCTCCTTGTGAGCGTCTTTGTATCAGCCGCATTCCTCATTAAAAAGAACTTGACATAGTGCTTTATCCTTATAAACTTTTATTCATCAATTAAAACATATGAAATACACTCACGTTCCGGAGGTGTATTTTGCACCAGGTATGATGAGGATCCAGTGATGTACTGATTAAACACAAGATGGCAGTATCATCTCAGCAGCAGAGTCCTGTACAAGCTCAAAACAGACACCATCCGTAATATTATTATAATACAGGATTTATATAGCGCCAACAGTTTGCTCAGCACTTTACAGTATAAAGGGAGACAATACAGCAACAAAACAGTTCAGTACAAGAGGGATAGGAGGGCCCTGCTCCTTGGAGCTTACAATCTAGGAAATTGCAAGGCAAAGCACAGGCCCACTCAATGAATGCTATATGCCTGCTGTAATGCCGTATCAAGAGCCATTTGTAGAGTACTACAGGCCGCTATCCCGATGAATGGCAACGTCATAACGCCATCCGCACACTCCTCCCCGATGAGTTTTGTCACTAGTCTTGTGACTTTATCAAGGGGATACGATTGGACCGTCTGACAATCAATCAATTTATATAGTAAACCGACGACATTTTGTTGTGGACCGGCCTAGCACATGGTGGAAAAGCTGATCAGGGCCATTTTAATGCAGACCAAAACAGGAAAAAAAGAACAAACGCCGTTCATTAATAAATAACATGGGATCTATATTGCATGAGCTGTGGAGACATCACCCATTAACTATCCACATCCCTCAGTACAATTCATACGGGATGCTCATCAAACAAGCTACAAAGCCTCACACTAATAAAATATATCAATAATACAACAGAAAAGGAACTTTAGCATAAAAATATATATATTAAAATATTTTAAAAATACTATATATATATATATATATATATAAAAAATAAAAATTATACATTATTATTATTATACAGTATTTATAAAGTGGCAACAGTTCGCTCAGCGCTGTACATTACAAAGGGAGACAGAACATACGACAGTACAATAACAATACAATGCGATACCTGAGGGGTTCGAGGGCCCTGCTCCTTCGAGCTTACAATCTAGCAGGGAGGGGACAGTGGTACAGGAGGAGATAGCTGTGGGGGATGGAATGGTAGGAAGAGTGGAGGAGGTCGGCAAATTAGCAGGGGGTGGGGTAGGCTTCCCTGAAGAGGTGGGTTTTCAGGGTGCGCCTAAAAGAGAGGAGAGTAGGTGATAGTCTGATGGGTTGGGGTAGGGAGTTCCAGAGTATGGGTGACACCCTGGAGAAATCCTGGAGGCGGGCATGGGAGGAGGAGACCAGGGAACTAGAGAGAAGGAGGTCTTGTGAGGAGCGGAGTGTGCGTGTTGGGTGGTGCTTGGATATTAGGTCGGTGATGTAATTTGGGGCAGTATGGTAGACAGCTTTGTAGATAAGTGTTAGGATTTTGAATTTTATCTGTTGGGCAATCGGAAGCCAGTGGAGGGATTGGCAGAGGGGGCAATGGGGCACTATTCCTCCCACTGACACCAATGATGGGGCACTATTCCTACTGCTGATACCAATGATGGGGCACTATTCCTCCCACTGACACCAATGACAGGGCACTATGCCTACTGCTGATTCCAATGATGGGGCACTATTCCTACCACTGATACCAATAATAGGGCACTATTCCTCCCACTGACACCAATAATGGGGCACTATTCCTTCCGCTGATACCAATGATGGGGCACTATTCCTCCCACTGTCACCAGTCATGGTGAATTTTTTACTGCCACTGACATCAGAACTTTTTCTACTCCCGCTGGCCACAGTCCAGCCCCCTAAAGAGTGAAGGACAGTACACTGGCCCTTTGTTTAGAAAGTATGGAGACCCCTGGTCTAAGACAAAAAGCTAGGCAGGGAGTGAGTGAGTATGGAGAAGGCATAAAACAGTTCATCTTAGAAATTTCTACATAGATGATGGACTTACATCTGTGCCTACTGAACCCAAAGCAGTCAGTCTCCTGCAGTGAACTAGGGAGATGCTTGCAGAATCTAATCTTAAGCTAAACAAGGTGGTGTCCAATATAAGCTCATTAATGGAAGTGTTTTCTGCAGATGACAGAGCTGAAGAGTTAAAAGTCCTTGTTCCAGGTGTCTATCCTCTGCCCCTTTAACCACCTCCCGATATGACGGACGCAAGGTGGTTCTCTCATTCTTGGAGGATGTCATATGACGTCCTCCCATTCTCACCGCGCATGCGTGGCTCAGGCTCCCTTGGACATAGCGGATCACCGATCACAGAAAGAGCTGAAGATGTTGGCTCGGTCATGTGATCAGCTGTGTCCAATCACAGGTAATCACATGTAAACAGGGAAATGCCAGTTATCGCCATTTCCCTCCTCTCGAGCTGTCACACTGACAGCTAGAGAGGAGTGGAGAGCTGGTAATCGGCTTTCCGCGGAGGGGACATGTGCACTGATCATCAGGGCACTGATGATCAGTATGCGCTGATGATCAGTGTAGCCCCAGCAGTGCCACCTGTCAGTGTCCATCAATGCCAGCTGTCAGTGCTCATCAGTGCCACCTACCAGTGCCCATCAGTGCCACATCAATGCCACATATCAGTGCCTACCAGTGCACATCAATGCCACGTATCAGTGCCCATCTGAGCTGTCTTTCAGTGTCACCCATCAGTGCCAGTCAGTGCCACCTATCAATGCCAATCAGTGCTGCCAATCAGTGCCACCTATCAGTGCCAGCCAGTACCGCCTATCAGTGCCTGTCAGTGCCATGTATCAGTGCTGCCTTTCAGTGCCACCTACCAGTGCCTCCTCATCAGTGCCACCTATCAGTGTCCATCAGTGCAGCCTATCAGTGCCCATCACTGCAGCCTCATTAGCGCACATCAGTGAAGGAGAAAAATCACTTATTTACAAAATATTAGAACAAAAACTAAGAAAAAAACGTTTTTTATTCAAAATTTTCAGTGGTTTTTGGTTTAAGAAAAAATAAAAAACCCAGAGTTGATTAAATACCACCAAAATAATGCTCTGTCACAAAAAAATGATAAAAATTTCATATGGGTACAGGGTTGCATGACCACGCAATTGTCATTCAAAGTATGACAGGGCTGAAAGCTGTAAATTGGCCTGGGCAGGAAGGGGGTATAAGTGCCTGGTAGGCTAGTGATTAATGAAGTTTAGGAGTAAGTTGGAAAATCCAGACCAACAGTTTTACCTTTCAGAGAGGTGAAGCCATGCACACGGAGAGGTATCCTAGCCACAGTAAACAGTCTTTACAATACATTCTTGTTTGCAGCCCCGATCACTATGCAAGGCAAAGCCTTAGATAGACAGCTGTCAATAGATCAATGTGACTGGGATTCCCCACTCTCATCAGAAAGAGAAACTCAGTGGAGAACATAAGCATAAGACTTGATTCATCTTGAAGATCTCAGTATTCCCAGATCCTATGTGCCAGTGTCACTAATATCTACAGTGCGAATAGAAGTATGAGTCTTTTCTGATGCTTCGACTGTGGCGATAGACAGATAGGGGTTGATTTACTAAAACTTGAGAGTGCAAAATCTGGATCAGCTGTGCATGGTAGCCAATCAGCTTCAAAGATCATCTTGTTCAATTAAGCTTTGACAATGAAACCTGGAAGCTGATTGGTTTCTATGCAGAGCTGCATCAAATTTTGCACTCTCCAGTTTTAGTAAATCAACCCTTAATTGTCAATGTCATGTAGGCTTTATTATGGACAAATCTAATCTAGCTCCAAGATCAGCCCACCCACACAGTGCCATGTTTAGAGTTATCTGCAGCCTTCTTGCCAGTTGAGCTACCAGAACTGAGTGTTGCAGAAATGGACTTTGAGCCTGCTGCAGTTAAATATTACACTGACAACAAATTGTGTTAGGCTATATTCACAATACCCCCAGAAGATTTTATGTGTATGTCTGAAACAGAGTAAACATTCCAGCTTGTTCTCAGGCCCAAATTTTTTACGTCATGAAGATGGAAGAGAACCACCCGAAGCTGAGATATTTGACCATATTGAACCAAATTTTGACAGTGAGATCCGACCTAAATGTCAGCCTTTGCAACTAAAGTGCATGAACACCAGTTGGACTCACATAGGCTTCTCAGATTCTCAAGTTGGAAGTTTCTTGTGAGAAGTATAGCAACAGTTATTCACATCAATAAATCCTTTTCCAGCAGCACTCAAAAAGAAATTGTATATGTAAATGTTGGCATTGTTGCAAAAAGTTATGCCGTCCATCAGATTTCTTGCAAGCAGAAACGGTCATTATCAAATGTGTCCAACAAGAGCTGTTTTTTAGAAGAGATAAAGTCTTTATTGAAGGAATAAAGAAATCATCAGTCAAAGCTCAATCAAATGTTTGAATCAATAAAGACGGATTAATCAGAGTAGGAGGGCGTTTGTATAATGCAGACATGGCCAAGAATGAGAAACACCCTCTTGTAATTCCAGCCAACCATTGCTCTCTCTTAGTCAGACACTACCATGAGGAGGTGGCACATGAAGGCCGTCATTTTACCAAAGGTGCACTATGCTCAGTATGTTTATGGATCGTTGGAGCTGAAAAACACATTTCTAGTGTTGTCCATTAGTGTATTATCTGCAGGAACTTGAAGGGAAAGGTGCAGGAACAGAAAATGTCAGATCTCCCACCAGACAGGCTTACCGTAGCTCCTCTATTATCATATGTAGGACTTGATGTATCTGGGCCTTAGAATGTAATATCTAGCTGTACTAGGGCACACTCTACAGATGGTAAAAGATGGGCTGTGATTTCTACTTGTTTAAATACTAGAGCGATTAATTTGGAAGTGCTTGATTCAATGTTATCTTCAAGCTTTATTAATGCCTTGAGAAGATTCCTGTCCCTCTATGGACAAGTCAAGCAATTCCAACCTGACAAAAGGAACAAACTTTGTAGGACCCTGTAAGGAAATCCAAATAGACTCAGAAGATCCTGAGATACAGAAATATCTTCTAGGTCAGAGATGCACTTGGACCTTCAATGCATCCCACTCATCCCATATGGAAGGAGTGTGGGAGAGAATGATTGGCGTAGCTACACGTATTCTAGACTCAATGTTGATGCAAAACACTCAATTGTGGCATGACGTCCTTACTACATTGTTGGCCGAAGTTGTAGCCATGATGAATGCTAGGCCATTGGTTTCCATTTCAACACACCCTGAGAGACCTGAGCGGTTCTCCCAACACAGGAATGGGCTCACACCTGATCACCTACTAGCCTCTTTGTTTTAACACAGCAATGCAATTGAAACATTTTATATGCTTTCTGAATGTACTATGGCTTACAATACAAAAACACAGCATTAAACCCAGCACAAACTATCTAGCACAGTTCTGCATTATTATTCATAGCTCTAGTTTACACAGATCGAACCCCACTTCTGGTACCATGTGTTTTGTTACATTTTTGGGGTTGTATTCGATATGTGCAAAGAGAGATCACACAAATACTGCTAAAGAAAAAGATTTAATTAAATTGGTAGTAAACTCTCTCCTCTAACTTTCACTCATATGAATCAGCATGAAATACTCTAATAATTGTGGCATTCAGATGTCTCCTTACATGGTCTGTGGGCTTTCAATCTGTCCCGTTCTGACACATGCGCTTCTTTTCTCCCCCGATTCACGACATGATCTTTGTGCAGTCAGTCCATAAATTCACCCATGTCTTTTTAGACACATAAGAAATTCCTTGCTGTATGGATATAATATGCTCTTCCTCGATGTCCTTCCCGCCCCATTTTACTTCTTTATACCCCCTCTGATACCTTCCTAGCATGGAGGCTGTTATAACTCTTGTTTCCATCTTAAAGCAGACTTGATTCTCCAACTGGATTTAGCAGCACCTCCAGGTCAGTGTCTTACTAGCCATCCGAACCCTTGCAAGATAGCTACAGACCACCTTTTTATCACTAGCTCATTACTCTGAACAGACTTTTTGGTATGCTCCAATATGGAATTAGATTATTGGTGGCTACAGTTCTAGCAACTCATAATCCATTGTTCATATCTACAGTACTGTGAAAAAGTTTTAGGCAGGTGTAAAGAAATTCTTTCCAGTATATATACATATATTTTAATTGTTTATTTTTAGCAATTTAAAAAAATGCTGGGTAAAGCGAAGCAGAAGAAAAATCTAAATCAAATCACTTGGTGTGACTAACCTTTAGCTTCAAACCAGCATCCATTCATACACTTGCACAAAGTCAGGATTTTGTAGAATTAGAGTCAGGTGATAAATCAATTATACCAAGCAGGAGCCAATGATCACCAATTTCACATGGAGTTGGAACACAAATATTAAGTGAAACAGAGACAGCTGTGTAGGATGTTTAGTAGTGAGGAACAGCCAAACTCTGCTACTAGGTGAGGTTGTGGAAGACAGTTTCATGTCATAGGTCATGCATCATCGCAAGACTGAGTACAGCAACAAGACACAAGGTAGTTATACTGCATCAGGAAGGTTTCTCCTAGGCAAAGATTTTCAAAGCAGACTTGGGATTCAAGATGCTCTTCAAACTCTTTTGGAGAAGCACAAAGAAATGGGAAAAGTTGAGGACCATAGACACAGTAGATGGCAGTGGTTGGCCAAGGAAACTTAATACAGAAGATGAAAGACACATCATACTTACTTCCCTTTGACATCGGAATATGTCTATCAGTGCCAGCAGCACAGAACTGGCAAAATCCAGTGGGACCCAGGTATACTCATCTACTGTTTGGAGAAGTCTGGCCAGAAGTGGTCTTCATGGAAGAATCGTGGCCACAAGGCCATACCACCAAAGTAGAAACAAGGCTAAGAGACTGAACTATGCACGCAAACATAGGAACTAGGGTGCAGAAAATGGAAGCAGGTGCTCTGGACTGGTGAGTCAAAATTGTAAATATTTAGCTGTAACAGGAGGCAGTTTGTTCACCAAAAGCCTGGACAGTGGTACAATAGTGAGTGTCTGCAGACAACAGTGAAGCAGGGTGGTGGTTCCTTGCAAATTTGGGGCTGCATTTCTGCAAATGGAGTTGGAAATTTAGTCAGGAACAATAGTTTCCTCCTCAATGCTGAGAAATGCAGGCAGATACTTATCCATCATGGCATACCATCAGGAAGGCGTATGATTTGCCCCAAGTTCATTCTGCAGCAGGACAATGATCCCTGACATACAGCCAATGTCACTAAGAACTATCTTCTGTGTAAAAAATAACAAAGAGTACTGGAAGTGATTGTCTGGCTTCCACAGAGCCCTGATCTCAATTTCATCGAGTCCATCTGGGATTACATGAAGAGACAGAAGGCTATGAGGCAGCCTACATCCACAGAAGATCTGTGCTTAGTTCTCCAAGATGTTTAGAACAACCTACCTGCTGAGTTCTTCAAAAACTGTATGCAAGTGTACCTAGAAGAATTGATGGTGTTTTGAAGGCAAAGGGTGACACCAAATATTGATTTGATTTGGATCTCTCTTCTGTTCATTTCCTTTCCATTTTGTTAATTGATAAAAATACTATTAACACTTCTTATGCTGATGAAGCAGTACAGCTGACCACTAGAAGGAGACGTTCACAGCACACACTGCAAGATTGCAGATCATCAAATCTGTTGCATTTTATATTTTCATCTATCCATAAATTCTACCCAAAGTACCTCATTTTTGTAGAGCACCCAGCGGTTAATGGATGCAAAATAAATCTTTCAGTAAAAACAAAACAATCCATATAATGATGTGCAGCGTTAAACGTTAACTATAGAAATGTAAAACAGACAATCAAAAT